TCTTTTCTCTTCTTTTCTCTCAACTAAAACCCTAGGCGTAAACTAGGATTATAAAACTGAACCTAATCAGATTATACCCTTAAAATATTACTAAAAACGAATTAAATCTGATTGGGTAAGGAAAAGACCAAAATACCCCTTACTATTTCCGGCCAACTTTCCTTAACTGGGAAGCCTATCTTCAAAAGGCCATATCTCACTCATCCGACCTCGAAACTTAGCAAACTCGGCGGCTTTGGAAAGATAATTCAAAGGTCTTTCCTATGGTATCTGGTAGCACACCTAAATCTTCCTGAGCTAGGAGTTATGATCGTTTGAAGTTGACCCAAAATTCATACTTAGCTTAACTTGCAAAATTTCAGATTTTGCTATTCCAATTTAATTCTTTTGGAACTCAAGGTGCTACATCTAGAGACTTTAACACTTAAGAAATTTTAATTCCTCGGTAAAATCTCACTCACTACGATGGATGGTTCAAGTCTTAGTTCTAAAAAATTCCTGGGGTGTTACAATAGCAATTTAGCATATGAACAAGACAATTTAACTATGATTTACCTTATCAATACAACTATATAGTATACATATAAATACCCTTGTTGTTAAACAAAAATTGGATACAGTGGACAAACAATGTTGCTTCAAGTATTTTTTTTTTAAAATACAAACTTAATGTATTTATGTATCCAAATGTACTTGTATGGTTAATCAACCTTTCAACTTGTGTTAATATTTCAATACAAACGGTTAGCATATGAATTCTTTGTTTTCAAATGGATACAAGTATTTATAAAACTTAATATATCAATATATCAAACAAAGTAAAGTATAACAATTTAGCATATGAACAAGACAATTTAAATATGATTTACCTTATCAATACAACTATATAGTATACATATATAAATACTCTTGTTGTTAAACAAAAATTGGATACAATGGACAAACAATATTGCTTCAAGTATTTTTTTTTTAAAATACAAACTTAATGTATTTATGTATCCAAATGTACTTGTATGGTTAATCAACCTTTCAACTTGTGTTAATATTTCAATATAAATGGACAACTAAAAAAAACAAAGAAATATAATACAATACAAGTATTCAAATGTATAAGTATTCCACTGTATTAATATATCAATACAATTGAAGGTATAGGGTCATTGTGTTTCTTTGTTCTTCTTTCATTCTCCATTGCAACAATAGAGCCTGATAATTTGGTTTGCTTTTGAGTAATACCAAATCGAAAGAAGATAGCTCATCCAAAAATTCGTCAAATAAATGTATACATTTTATAACCCTCCTCGCAATACTAATTTCCGCCATTGTAATGGAGAAAACAAAATTTTCAAACAAAACCTTATGAAAATAGAAGAAAAATATAGATGTACACAAATATAATCGTCATAAAAAGGAAAAAAAAGGCAATTACAAGAGTCCTAATAAAGAAATCGTGAATTTCAAGGACTTTAAAAAAAAAGGGAAAAAAAATCTGTGATATTTGAGAGAGAGAGTAATGAAAAGTGATGAAGATCGGTAAACATGGGAACATCACCGTAAAACGTGCCTAACTATAATTGATTAGGCGTGTGATTATAATTTTGTCATTTAATAAGTACTTGTTTATATACATATTAGAAAAACTGATTTTTATTTGAATATAATTATTTTTTCTATTTAATATTTAATTGTATCCATAAAATAAAATAAAAAGTAACCAATAGCTATATATCTTAAATGTATACTGATGTTTGCTATATTCTGAAGTTTTTCCTTCTTTTTTAGAGAAAAGTAAAACAGTCGTAAACTCAACGTGAATTATTAGTTTCATCTCCGGACTATTGACAATCTTAAAAACACCCATTTTCTTCACTAATTGAACTTAAATATACCACCGATCTTGAATCATGAGTGAAACATACCCCTAAATGCTCACCAAGTTTAGGAGTATTTTCTACACTTCTCTCGGTTTTTATAGGCGTTTGGACATGCAATATGAAATCGCGATATGAAATCATGATATGAAGTCACCTTTGGACATGCGGTTTTATGCTGATTTCATCTCATTATTTCATATCATGAGATGAAATCTCATTTTCTCCAAAAATCATGATTTAGGAATTTCAAATCATGATTTGAAAATTTTCAAATACAAAAATTGATCCACAAAGTTATATTTTGTAAAAACAATTCCACATTTATATCTAATAACCATTTATTTCATATGTAAATAAAATTTAGGGATAAAGATCTGAAAAATACCTCAACTTTGGTCGAATTTGTTGTTGCGATACTAAACTTTCATGAGGACCTATTACCTCCCTAGACTATTTAATACCATATTTTAAACATATATATTTGCCCACGTGGACATAAAAAATAATGCAAAATTATAAATAGTAATGTGTCCACGTGGACACATATATACCTTTAAAATACACTATTAAATAGTTCAGGGGGTAAAAAATACGGTATTAAATAGTCTAGGAAGGTAATGGGTCCTCATGAAAGTTTAGTATCGGACAACAAATCCGATCAAAGTTGAGGTATTTTTCAAACCCTTATCGCTAAAATTTATAATTCATATCATTACTTTTTAAACCATTTACATCTCATATATTGATTATTCTCACTAATATAGAATTTATTATTACTTCAAATCAATTTCCGGTTTACTATTTATATTCACCAAGTTCATTATTTTTTATCAAATTTATTTACCAACCAAATCGATCAACAAATGGCTCAAAGCAACCATGTTAGTTCATCTTCTTAGTCATATAACGAGAAATGCAAGTTCAACGTGAGAAAATTGTCCGTATTATATGGGAGAACTATATTAAAGACTAGTACACCACAACTTATATATGTTTAGTTTTTTTTTATTGAATTAAAGTTTGATCAATAAATATTGTTTTTATTAAAAATATCTTCATGACAGTGCATTATGAGATTTTATAAATTGTTGTTTATTTGGTAAGATTGTATAAAAATTTGGATCAATTTTAATAATTTCACAATATAAAAAGTCTAAATCACATGTACAAATAAAACCATAAGGGGTCGTTTGGTGTGATGGATAAGGGGAGTTAATCCCAGGATAAATTTTAAGTATTCTTTATTTCCTTGTTTGGTTGCAAAGCTTGGGATAACTTATCCCAGGATTATGAATTAGTACCGGGATAAATTTATCCCTCACATTGGGTGGTATAGTAATCCCGGGATAACTTATCCCGAGATAACTTATTCCGGGATAAAATAGGTAAATGACAAATATATCCCTTTAAACTCTTTTTATATATCATTTTTCACATTTATGTATATTTACATTATTTTTAATACCATGTATAATAATATTCACAACTCCTTATTTTTATTATAATTATTCATATTATTCTACTAAAAATTACCCTATAGAAATATAATTTTTTTTTATGATTTTATTTGACTAATTCTTATGTTTATTTATATTTTGATTTCTCATATATCTTCTTCTCTTTAACAAACTTAAGAGGGAAGTTCTATTTGTGTATATGAAGAAATTATTGGTGGAAACGCGAATTCAGATTAGTCGGGTTAGTGAGTAGCAGTCTAGAAGATATCGGATGGTTATACCAAAAGGCGAAGTGTATATGAAACTCTCTCTTGGATATGTTTCATTTTTCAAATCATACTTTTGAAGTCAATTGGACCAGAGGGAGTTGCTCGGATGGTAAGCATATCTCACTTCCAAACCGAAGGTTGTGAGTTCGAGTCACCAAGAGAGCAAAAGGGGTGGGAGCTCCTAGGGAGGGTAAAAAAAAAAAAAAACTTCTCAAGTCAATTGGAATTTCAGTTAGCATATTTTAGTAATATCAGAATCTGGACCTTTTCTTCAGATGTAAAAGCCCAGATTTATTTCTTTCCGTTATTGTTTTGTTTAAACTTGGATTTCTTATAATATGGTCTTCTTTAGATATTGCCCTGTTCATATTTTTTTTTTAAAAAGGAAGTTCTATTTTTAAGTTAAATAAAAAAATTAAAATTTAAATACATATGATATTTAACATGGAAATACATAAACAAAAATATTTAAGTTAAATAAAATAAAAGTTTTATTTTAAAAAATGAATAACTAAAGCTTGCAAAGAAAATATATTAAAAAAAAAACTAAATAAAGTGTAGGGTAATTTTATAAACAAACTATTTTTTCTTAAAATTTATCAACATATATAATTTTGAATACAACAAACCAAACACTCAATAAAAGATAATCCCAACATAATTTATTCTATCATAACTAATCTCAACGTAACTTATCCCAACATAACTTATTTCATGGCATAACTCATATTCAAATCAAACACCCCGACTTCATGTCATAAATTCATACCATAATTTCGTATCCAAACCTTAATATAATTTTTTTTAAGGAAGGGGTGGACATTTCAACAATTTAGAAGCATCCGATTCCGTAGCTTGCAGTTAGCAACAATGGCGGAAAATGAAGAAGATGATTACATGGGAGACCTTTCTCACTTTCTTCCTCCAGGAGCTTCTTCTCTTCCCTCTAAAACGGTCAGTTCCTCTCACCCATACAAACCCTAGATTTTATTTATACATTTATTTTGTGTATTTTTACAAAATTTCCTAAAATCTCAACTATAGTTATTTGAAAGTCGAATCCATTAAAATTTCATGATTTTTAATGTATTTTAGTATTCGATAATCATAGCAAAGTTAAAATTTCTGATGACCTTCGTTTTTCTTTTCGATTTCCTCTGTATACATACTGTCATGTAGGCTTGTATTTCCGACATTCACACACTAATCAGCACTCTCTCTATGCTTGGAATCAATATATTATTATCACTGTTTGGTTTTCATTTGTTTCAAAATGTTTACTTGCATATTTTCTTCAAGTGCTGCTAGGATGAAAATTAGTCATCATTTAGGGTGTGTACTAAGTTGCTCGGACTCTCCAAAAATGTTGCCGCACTTGTGTAGGATCAGACACTCATCCGTCGACATTTTTTAAGAGTCCGAACAACATAGGTTCGGTACGAAGGAAAATATTTTTCTAGAAAATGTTTTGTTGGAAAGTAAATGACTTTCTTACTTATTTTCTAGTGTTTGGTAAGTAAGCAAATTTTTTTTATCTCAAGAGCATTAATATGTAATCTAGTGAAACACTATGTGTGGGTGGGAGAGACTAGAGAGTGGGGGTTGGGTAATGGTGGTGGTGGTGGAGATGGGATAGTTAAGGGGTGGGGATTGGATATGTTGGGTGGGTGGAGAGGAGGCAATGAATTTTGGAGGTCACTTATGGAGCTTGCTTCCCTACTTTCATTAGAGAAATCATTTTCCTCATCTCTAAAGAGCTTTTTTTCATAAAGAAAATGCTTTCCAAAATATTTTGACCAGCCAAACATAAAAAAATAGAAAAACACTTTCCGAAATATGTTTTCCTCCATATCAAACACACTCTAATATTAACAAGCAGAACCTTTGTTTCCATAGGTTTTCAATGGCCTGAGTTACTTGTTATAAAAAATTTGGACTGACTGTCAAATTCTAAATTTTAGTTTTTCTCGTATTTTCTTAGCTTTTCATTGCAAAATTGAGTCTAAATTCAGTGGATAAAGGATAAAAATAAGACATTGATGTCAAAATGGATCATATGGTATGAGTTGCTTCTGGCCCTGATCTGTTTGTCTTGGGTTGGCAGGCATCAAATAAGCCTGAAGTTCCGAACAAGAAACGTAAGGTGTTAAACTGGCAAGAAAGGAAAAAGCTCAAGAGAGAGCAGAAGCAAATTGAAGAGGACCAAAAAACTCTAGTCAATTTAGAGTCAGCAATTCCTGAGAGCAACATTGGATTCAAAATGTTGAAACAAATGGGTTATACTCCGGGATCAGCATTAGGCAAGGAAGGTTCTGGTAGGTCTGAACCTGTGGGACTGGAAATCCGAAGGGGCCGTGCTGGGATTGGGAAAGAAGATGATAAGGTAGAGAAGATGAGGAAGGAAATGGAGAAGGCTAACAGGGATAGAAGGACAGAAGAAGAGCTAATGGAAACTTTTGGATCTCACCTGAAGGAGCGATGGAAGGATAAGAGGATTGTCAGCAATTTTCACAAGGCTGATGCAGTACTGGCTCAGTTAGAGAATAGGGAGGTCGTAACGGAGAAAAAGGAAGAAGAGGATGTAGGAAAGGATGAGGAGGAGGAAGAGGAAGAACCGATCACAGAAGAGGTACTTTTATCATTTATGTATGATTTTTTAAAGTAAACTGAATGCTATGTTGGAAACTAACATTTGGTTCACTTTCCTTTTAACCATTTTGTGCAAAAAACTGAGTTGGCTTAGGTTTGCACTGTAAATAATTCTAGGGAAGTTATTGATTAACAATACCAAATGTGCAGTTTCTTGCTAGGACATTGACCTGAAGCACTAATAACTAGGTTGAAAATTTAATATTGTACTGTGAACATATTAGTGATTCTCTAAATACATATATGGGATAGGCCAAAGCTATTGAATTCGGCCGAACTCAGAACTTATGTTGTAGATACGCCCCTGATCTTGGGTAATCCTCACCTTGGGAACAACTTTTGAGGTTAAGTTAGGCCCAAGTCCGATGCATGCCCATCTTGGTTTAACTAATGTTGGGCTCCCATGTTGTATTGTCCACACACTGGATGATCAGTCATGGGTGTGTGGGTACATTAAGTGTCTCACATTGTTTGAGGGTACAGGCTGTTGTCTAAGTTTTCTTATATGGTCTAGTTTTGAGGTTGAGTTAGGCCGAATGTCATTTTCCTTAATTTTGAAGTTGACAGAAATAATAATCCACAGGTATGTTGGCAGTTGGTTCGTCAATACATACCTCTTTTACGAAACCTGACCCCAGGTTTTATGCTGCCCTCATGAATAGCAAGGACAAATGCAACTGCTGAAAATGTCACTGATTTAAAAAAGAAACAAATAGGTTACAATCTTATGTGAAGAGATTTCCATTACATTTTTGCTTAGATTTGGAATTTGGTCAAGAAAGTCATGAGGGAACTAACATCCCATTCATGTGTAACTTGACCAAAAATTTAGCTAGCATTTGTTCATAGATTCCCAAATATTTTTGGCAAATATTATTTGGGTGTTCACCATGTGTTTGGCCATAGTATTTGGGAAACATATTTCAATTTTATAAGAAATGTGATTTATACCCATAAGTTTTAAAAACTATCAAAACTAACCATAAGTTTGTATTACATAGCAAGATAGAATAACAAGATTCATGACTTTTACAACAAGTCAATTGGATCTTCATTGCAACAAATAACAAGTAGTGTCCATGACACTGGAGCAATGTGGTAGTTCGGAGTGAGTGCAACAAGCATTATTTCATACATTGTGAAGTAGACGAACCACATGACTTTGTTACCCTGAGCCGATTGTTCATCATTTTCATCAATAATCATATCATCACTTTCATATTCACTGGATATTCCATCATTGTTTTGGTGTTCATGTAAAAAATTATGTAATACAGCGCAAACAACTACTAAAGAGGGTGTTTTTGTAAAAGATAAAAGTTTCGTGTAGAATTTGAATTTTTAAAAGCTCACAAATAATGAGATTTGACCCAAATACTAGAAAACACTAGTATTTGGGAATTTGGGTTATTTGCCCAAAAAAATTGCCAAATAATAGCAAATTGTATGGACAAACACTATTTGCCAATTTTTTTTCCAAATTTTACATGGGAAATCTATGGCCAAACGGGTCCTTAGAATCAACAAATTAAGAGATTTTACATTGACGGGAGCAGAAAGAGATAATCAACTTACCTAGAAAGTTTTTTATGACTAAATATGCCAAATTCTATTGTGTCCAGCTGAGCATTCCAAATCTGCCTGTTTCACAAAAGATCAAAACAACCTCATGAGATTTCTATTTGCAATTAGTGTTCCAGAATTTTAGCCTTTCTCAGCAGAGATAATGTCGAAGTGTATCGAAGATATAGTTAAATACATAAAAGTGTACCTTCTCAACTTAAGCTTTTAGATGAGGTAGTCACACATTCAACAAATAAAACTAAATAAATTAAAGATAATTAGCAGTCATCTGACTCGCATTAAGACTGCCTCTCCAACTGTTCCATCAACGGCTTGAACAACTGGATCGAATAGTTGAACCAGCTGTTGCACTTTGCTTCTATCCCTCAGAAATTCCTGCAGAATTTGTAGTATATGATTATGACGCCTATTGAGCGTGTGACATATTCATTTGAAAGTTAGAATGTCGGATCCCCATGACTTCAACAAACTATAGCTGATTATTGACACATTAAGATCAAAGTGCAAATTGAAAATGAATATATTATCTACATATAAATCAGAATTTTCCAAGTCTAATGTATTGTCTCCCTCTCCCTCTCAATATCTATGCAGGCACACACACAAAAAATAAATCCAGTATGAGTTATATAGATCTTTTGTATTCATTCTGCTCTTACAAGTCCAGTATTAAGAGGACTTATCATGCCGAGACTTTTTTATCCATTAGTAGACTGTCTTTATTCGGATTTGGGACCAGCTATAGTTTGTTGAAGTCACATACCTCTGGAAGATTTCTGAACATTGAGAGATTTTCAAAAGGTTAGAGCTTGAGGGATGAAAGGATCACATATATTGAGGAAGTCACAAGAAAAAAAACTTTCTTCCCATAGTTTCTGGTGTCCAGACCATTTTGATCATTTGAGTATGGGCAAATTGTGAAGTTCTTTGAATTAAAACTTTTGCTAATATTAAGGTTCTCTCTACTCCTTTTTGTTCATTAAAAAGAGATTCTCCCTACTCTTCTCTGTCCCAAGAGATTGCATGGAAGAAAACAAAAGAAATAAGGGTGCTGAATTTAGGTTAATGGAATTTTCCTTGAGATTTTTTAAAAAAAAAGAGTCATTCTCCATAATCACTGCCTCTCCTTTCCCTATTTATCACTCTGGGCCATCTTAAAAATTGTTATGTTCCTCAACTTGGAGCTTGTTTGCAATGCTATTGTTGATGATGTCTACTTTTTTATTTAGCTTTGCTGGTTAATGCTTGTCCTCTCTGGTTGAACCCGCTACTGATTTTGGGTACTGCTTCACTACTTACAATGCAGGATTTGCTCAATACATTGATGAGGCTGAGAGATGAGTATCATTACTGTCTTTTCTGTGGATGTCAGGTAGGTAGGGGATATATTAGACAAATTATATTCTTTGTTTCATTTTACGTGTTTAGTTTGACTTGACACGAAGATTAAGACGGTAAAGAAGGCATTTGAATCTTTCCAGTTTCTAGTAGGAGGTATCATGTAAGGGAATGGACAGAAAATAGGGAATAGTAAACACGTTTTCTTGAAGAGAACTCGTCAATTTGTATCTGCATCTTATTGCTAATTTCTTTTTCTCTTTGCAGTATGAATCAACTGAGGCACTGCAGTCTAACTGCCCTGGGATAACCGAGGATGACCACTAGATGCCATTCCCCAGTAGGCCTTAGCAGCAACACCTTGAGAAGGATTTAGAATCCTCCTGCAACAAATGGATAATTCCAGGGATGATAGGAGCAGAGATTCATCACGCATCTCGGCAGCAAAGCAAGAGCTCAGATCGAATGACCATTCCATTCAGGTGAATGTGGCTTCTCAATAAATTATTGAAAGCAGAATACAGTGATTAGATTATATTAGTGCATCTCCCATAGCTTCGAATTGCATTTCTTGAGCCACATGAACCTTGATAGTTGTGCTATGGATGGTGGCTGGATATCAAGATTAGTGATTCTTGTACTGTAGCTGTTGATTGAAGTTGTATTTATTCTTAAATGTGTTGATAGCGTTTGTAATGTTAAGATTGCCATATTCGAATACTCCACAAGGAGTGTACACACCATGAACATTATCTTGTTTATTCCCCAGCATCTGAGGGGGCCTACTAAAAAGATTAACCAGTTCTATTCCATATTGAATGTAATCAGTTCATTGCAATAGAAATGGCAGGGCCTGTTATCCTTGAAAACTGTAGCTATTTGATTGTGAGGGATATAAACATTCAAATAACTTGAGATGTGGATTGCTACTTCAGGATGCACGCTCAGAGGCGAAGCTAAGTGGGTTTCATGGGTTCAGACGAACCCAGTAACTTTTTTCTAGATCCTATATTTGTAATAGAAAATTAAATAAATATATATGTATACTAACTTGTGAAACCCTAACAAAATTGATTGATGGCTCAGTGGTAAGGAGGGGGCGTGAAAATGCTTTTCAAGCTAGTTGTGGATTCAAAAATTTAGAACCCTTGAACTCCTAATCCTGGCTTCGCCTTTGTGCATGCGAAAGTTGTTTAAAAAGTAGGCAAACTTGTAATAAGAGGCTACAAGCACACAATTTTTTGGACAACTTGTGTGTTTGAGCTATGTGCTTGTAGTCAAGGGTGCTTTTCTGCTCCAAATATGTGGGGCCCACCTTGACTAAAAGCAGACAATTGTTCGTTGATATGCCTGCTTCTAGTTGATGGTAAGTTTGAAAATTTTAATACTTTCTCCATTTCAATTTATTTATCTTACTTTTTTTTTAATTTGTTAACTATTTAAAAATTACGTTAAAAATACTATAAATTACAATAATTAATAATTTAAAATATTTAGTTATGTATTAAAAATTACGTGAAGAATACTATAAATTAAAATAATTACAACTTAAAATATTTTTAAAACATATAAAAGATTTGGTTGACTTTCAAAATTTTATCAATGTCACATAAATTAGCAAAGAAAGAATAACATTTATTATTTGAAAATTATGTAAAAGAACTATAAATCACAGTAATTAACAATTTAAAATATTTAAGCCATCTAGGAGCCTAATCCTCTTTCTCTACTCGAGTATGAAGTTCAATAGCTTTCATTAAAAATCATATAAAAATTTGGTTGACTCTCCAAATTCTATCTATGCCACATAAATTGAGACAGCGAGAATAACACATATTATTTAAAACTAACTTAAAAAATATTATAAATCACAATAATTAACAACTTTAAATATTTTAAAAATATATAAAAAAATTAATTGACACTCCAACTTCCACCCGTATGATATAATTTGACACAAAAAGGAGTAATATATGACTCCTATATCTAGTTGGCCTAGGTATATATGTAAGAAAATTTCAGAAATAGCAAAGATAATAGACATAATAAAGTTCTATGGTTATAGTTTCGGTAATTACGCTACATAGCTATAGTTTCATTTGCTATGGAGGCTGCGCTTTGTATATTTCGCTTGCCCATTTGTATATTTCGCTTGTGAATATACAAACACAACAAGTATATACAATTTCAATATTTATTTATTTAAGAATTTTTTAGAATTCCGTTTGTATATTTCGCTTGCCAATATACAAACATGGTAATTTATTATGAATTTTTCATAAATCATATATAAATAGCATGGGTAAGAATATACAAATTCTGGATTTATACCATCAAGAACTGAATTATACAAATTACAAATTATGGATTTATACAATCAGAAACTCAATTATACGAATTCTAGATTTATACAATCATGAACCGAATTATACAAATTCTAAATTTATACAATTAGAAAACCGAATAGCAAAATTTCACAAACTATAGTCACGAATTAAAAAAAAAAATTCAAAATTATAACTATACTACATAATATACGATGTCATTTCGCGTAATTTTTCCTAAATATGTCAATGTTTGTTTGGTTTGGGCTATAATACATGAGAAACCTCTCCATTATGGGCCAAGTTTTCCGCAATATATATTTGAAGTCCATACACATTCCTCTCAAATCCTAACAATGGAGAATCTCATGGCTACTTACCAAGACGAAGAAGAAGAGGAAATTACCGCCGAACCTGCTCCGTCATCCGCCGCCGAAGCTCCGGCGACCCTTGATGAGGTTCTACAGTTAGTTGCAGAAAATGGCAGTGTGGATACTCCAGAACCCGAATCCGATTTACCAAATGCCGACCCGAAAAGCCCCCTGAAATCCACCAAATTGGAAGAAGATAACGACGAAGAAAACGATGATGATGATGAGGAGGAGGAGGAGGAGGAAGAAGAAGAAGCAGAAGAGCCACCAGCGAAGAAGCAGAAGCCGCTATCCAGTTTAACCCTAACATCACCAAAAATAGAAGAAGTAGAAGAAGAGGAAGAGGAGAAACAAGGTGATTTGACTAAATTACCCTTGTCAACACCTACAACAGCTAAGGGAATGGCGTCGTCTAGTAGCAAGAAGGCAAAATCCAAATCGAAGAAGAAAAACAACAATAACAACCTTTGGACGAAATCAAGTTCGAGAAAAGGGAAGAAGAAGAACAAGAACAACACTAGCAACCAAAAAAGCAACGGAAAGAAAAACGGAGTCGTTCCAGAACAGGAAGCAGAAGATAAAGTTTACATTATACCAATTCCAAGGTTTCCAGACAAAAATGATGATAGCCCAGATGTAAAAATCTGTCTTTCAAAGGTTTACAAAGCAGAAAAAGTTGATGTAAGTGAAGATAGATTAACTGCAGGAAGTACAAAAGGTTACAGAATGGTGAGAGCAACAAGAGGGGTGTTAGAAGGAGCATGGTATTTCGAGATTAAGGTAGTGAAGTTAGGTGACACAGGACATACACGACTTGGGTGGTCAACAGATAAAGGGGATTTGCAAGCACCTGTTGGATATGATGGGAATAGTTTTGGGTATAGAGATATTGATGGCAGCAAGATTCATAAAGCGTTAAGGGAGAAATACGGGGAAGAAGGATATGGAGAAGGTGATGTTATTGGCTTGTATATCAATTTGCCTGAAGGTGCTCAATATGCCCCAAAACCGCCTCGGCTTGTTTGGTATAAGGGACAGAGATATATGTGTGCAGCTGATCCTAAAGAAGATCCTCCTAAAATAATTCCTGGTATGTCACTGACAACTAGCTTCAACTGCTCCACTTTATTCAAATTTTCTTGCTGTTGTTTATACAAAGATTCATTTTTTATGCTGAGTGCTACTTGAAATGATCTTTAAAAACTTGAAGATGATCTAAATAAGAGTTAATTTGGAAAACATAGATATACATGAGGATCTGATGCTTTGGAACTATTAGATTGCTGTTGTTTCAAAAGCTGATCGCTAATGAATAAACAAAGTTGAGGTGTTTTGGAAATGGTTCAGTTGCAGGTTATTGCCAGAACTAATGCCGAAAAAAATGAAACTATTAAACAGTATATATAACAATGTTGACATATAAACATATTTGCGCACACATAACAACAGCTAACTTTCAGGTCCAATAACTCGAAACCGCAAACAAGACCTTGACTTCATTCTCAAACATATCTTTTTCCAGAACTCCTAAATTGCTCTCTATATTTTGTCCTCTCCAGGTGTTCTTTTTTTTTTCTCCCTCTCTTTCTTGCCACTGTTTTTTGTATTCTATCTATTCTCTAATCTCCCTTTTTTTTTTGCTTTGTAATATTTCGTTGTGCGTGAGTTGTGGGTCTTTTTTTTTTTTATTGTGAGTGTGTGTTATGTAATGTGTGTGTAGGGAGTAGTGGAGAAGATCATGTGAGGGAGTGGGGAATTGGATGTGCAGGTGAGGGAAATGGGTGTTTCATTAGGTTAGTGTACTATGTCCTTTGTATTTATGTGTGTGCTGACCATCTCAATGAGTAATCTCCTTTAGTGCAATATTCAAACTCTATTTCACTTTATATTCTCGATACCAAAATGCTGAGTAAACACGATTGACTTTCCAAAAGATTCTGTAAAAGGCATCTCTTGGGAAATCATTTTTGAGAAAGTCAGTAACCCTGTTTCCTTGTGTATGGTAAATTATTTTCTTGTATTCTCAAATTGTCATGTTCATTAAGCAGTGTACAAAATCTTGCATTTTCTCTGAGCAGGGAGTGAGATATCTTTCTTCAAAAATGGAGTTTGTCAAGGTGTTGCTTTCAAAGATCTTTATGGTGGTCGTTACTATCCTGCTGCTTCAATGTATACACTTCCTGACCAACCTAATTGCACTGTGAAGTTCAACTTCGGTCCGGACTTTGAATGCTTTCCTGAAGATTTCGCTGGGCGCTCTGTTCCAAAACCAATGGTTGAAGTTCCTTATCATGGATTTGATGGAAGAGTTGAGAATGGTGTGTCCAATGAGCAAAAGAGTTAGCTATTTGTCTTTTACCATGTTGACCAATACACAGAATACCCATTGTTTGACTCAGATTTTCACTGTAATTTGCTGATTTACTGACTTAGGCTGTTATGTGACGGTCAAACCTTGTAAAAGATTCTTCCTAAAAATTGAAAAACATTGAATTTATTTATTCAATTTTGACAGCTTCAGTTATTATCATTGCGGCTGAATCCATCTCTTTTATCCTAAAGCAAGATTATGTTTTTCCATAGAGAAAAAAAGCAGTTGATGTTTTTTTTTGGTTTTGTTTTGCTTGCAAGTTTTAATCAAAGGTGGTTTAGGAAGAGAAAAACAACTTACTTAACTAACAGTTGCATCTTCCTAATTCCATCTTGTCTAACGGCTGGTTCTGATATGAGATGGATGGTTCTATGTCGGTAGATTGAATATGATGCAAGCTATCTTGGCAGATTGAACATGATTTAACTTTCTGATTACAGGTAATTCATGGCATTCAACTAGGATGTGCCCCATGCTCAAAGTGGTAAACGAACATGTAAATAAAATTGGAGAAGCTGCTGAAATGGTTAGCTAAGCTTGAGCAATGCACTCAGGTTGGTTATGTTTCAGCTTTTTGTAAATAGAATGTAAGAGTACTACTTGGTGTGGTATCCTAGTTGTTCCAACTTTTGTAAGTGGTAAACTACTGAGTGCTGGAGAATGGGTGATCACAGTCATTTGGGTAGCCTGCTGTACAGTTTTGCTTTGTTGTTGACTTATTGTAGTTGGTTGTGACCCTGATTCTAGTCTTTATTAGC